AAAAAATGGATTACCTTGGCGGCAAAAATCCGCGCCATTAAAATTTGCGCTCCAAAATTATTTGCGACGACATTTAGGTTATTAGCGACGACATGGTTATTTTTTTAAACGGGGAGTAATTGCGACGACATGTCGTCACAAATATTTTATTATTTGCGACGACAAATATCGTCGCAAATGGCATTTCTTGTTGTAGTGATAGTACTATAGCTAGCTTCAATGTAAAATTATTCATGAAAAAATATACTAATCATTATTGCTTTTCTTTGATGTCTCATTATGCATGTTTTCTTGGGTTCTTGATCAGAGGCTAGTAATCAAGACAAGGAGTGTGGAATACATGCCATTCGCGTTGTCATTCTGCTTAACCCTATGTGCTGTAATGTGGTTCTTCTATGGCCTGCTTGTCAACGATTTCTTCATAGCGGTAGTTATAACTTATTATATATTAACCATGAGTTAATTACTTCAAATGTTTTCCATTGTGTACGAAGAACGATACATGTCATTTGTCGTAAAACTAAAATTTAGAACAATGTTATTAGACACTAGTGTTGTCGAGCACCACTCACTAACAAAATATAGGTCCGCAGTATGAGACTGATAGGACTATCACTCTAAGCATTTTTCAAATTTTAACTTGCTATAAAGATAAAAAGGATGGGACAAAGTAGTAAATAATATTTATTTTACAGAACTTACAGCATTTTGACACATGTATTTAAGATACTAATAACGAAACCTAATATGCGGGGTTCATTTATTATGATCAGTCACCAAACATTCTAGGATTCTTGTTCGGGATTGCACAAATGATATTATACCTTGTCTTCAAGAATTCCAAGAAAGAGGTGTTGCCGGAGTTTAAGCTTCAAGAGATGCCACCAAACGTCGCCGCTCAGGCGAACGCCGTACAAGAGGCGACCGTCATTAATGGCAATAATATTCCAAGCTCAGAGAGAAACAATAATGACGTAACTATGATAGTGTGATCATAGCTAGCTAAGGCATTTATAAACCAAAGTTGAGAATTGCATGAGATGTGTATTGGCTATAAATATATGCAAATGTGTAATTAGTTAAAAAGAATTAAGTAGAAGAAGAGACTAGAGGGGAAGGGAATTTAGACAGAAAAAATATATTGGAAGCGTTTATACAAGGTTTATCATGTTGTTTAATTTGATTTCTCCTCATGCTATCATAAAGATTTTCCAGCTACCTGGTCGTGTAAGTTTTTTCCTTTTTATTATTTTTATGTTTTCATAAATGAGTCGTACGTGTAAGATTTCTGTTGGTTGAAAATGATATTAAATACGTGCAAACATGCACAGAATTGTACCTTGGTCTATTATATGTCTCCATGACCTTATAAGTAAAATTCTCCATTTTTTTATTATATATTTATATAACCTTCATTATCTGTTTAATACTTGGGCGGAAAGAAAGGAGGAAGTAACCTTTTTGCTTTCTATATCAATCAATTTATTGCCTAGAAAAACTGTTTATAAAAAATCCATTTATTGCCCAAAAAGGACGGTAAAATTTTGGGAAATTAAAATTAGAGGTGGCCATTGCCTAGGGATAAAATATGTCTATGGAAATCAAGCTTATTAGCAAAGGGAAAAATTTTGTGCAGAATGTAGTTAACCAATTACTCAAAAAGACATAATTTCCATTCAAAAGAAAAAAAGGACATAATTTCACTTTTGCTTCTATTATAAGGTGACGAGTTTGAATCCCCACCTTAATTTTTTATAAAAAAATAAAAAAAAAATTACTCAAAAAAGATGGTAAAGGCTAGGTTGAACAAATGATCAAAGGTGATCATTGACCAGAGATAATTTAATGGAGTTTTTGTTCATTATCTTCTTATATGATGCCAGGGTTGATGACATGCTAATTGATCTCAAGAAGAGTCCAAAATAAATAAAAACCGAATATTTTGTCATTTTATGGTTCACAAATTCAATGATGAGATATTAGTACATGCCTATCTTGCCGCTCTCTCTCTAGTTTTACTCCTCCCTGTTTCTCTCTTCTGACGGCGGCGCTCGCATCCAACAAATGAGAGATGCTCGACAGTGTGCAAATCAATGCTTTGGAGAGAGAGAAAGAGCACGACAGAAGAGGGAGAGAGCGGCGGAGGGGAGAGAGAGAGAGCGGCGGAGGGGAGAGAGAGAGAGCGGCGGAGGGAAGAGAGAGAGAGCGGCGGAGGGAAGAGAGAGAGAGCGGCGGAGGGAAGAGAGAGAGGATGATAGTTTAGAGTGAAGAGAGAGGGACAAATATTAGGATTTTGAGTGGAATTCTCATTTAAGGGTATTTTTAGAAATTTATTGTTTATAAATCTAAATTTACCTTAAATTGGCCCATTTATTAACTTTTCTAAAGTTTTAGCCTATTAATTTTAATTCCTTCCAAATGTTAGCCTATCTATTTCCCTCCATCACCCTTATTATTATAAGGTACGTAAAAGCCCCCTAATCCCCCGATCCTCAATTAGTGATACGCCATTAACTTGCCAATTTAGCGGTTTTTAGGTTGGAAAAAGACGGTTTAGAAAATCGATGGTATGAGGCAAGGCAGGGCGGTTTGAGGCGGGCATTGTTTGAGCTTATTAAGCCTAATTGCACTTTTTTTTAAAAACAACCTAAAAATTTAAAGATATTTTATATTTGTGATTTTACTAGGCTTGATACAATTAACTTGCTAACATTTTAAGTTGAAAAAAAAAAAAAGAAGAATCAAACATCAAACACCATGCATGTCTTTGCAACTGTGCAACTATTTCTTAGTCATATTAACAAGTGAAAAGGAGATAAATACTTTTTAGAATGCATGGTCTTAGATATAAAAAAAACTATATTAATTAAAAGGATAGACAACTACCCCATAAAATGCACAGTCTTAGATTTTCACTTCTTACTCTTGACTAATAGCCTTTAGTTAAAGTATTGTATTAGTTAAAAATGTATTAATAAAGAGTAAAAAATAAAAATCTTAGAGCAATATATGTAATGATGATCTCACTAATTTTCTCCATTAACAAGTTTTATGCAAATAAGATCATACAGGATTCTCAAAAAATAAAATAAAATAAAATAAAAATCCTACAGGGCTAAGTTGAAGCGCAGCCCTATAGTCCACACTTGTCTCATAAGCCCAACAGCCCAGTAGTCCATACATAGTCAACTGCCAAAAAAATGCTAATTTTTAAAGATACCCTTAAAATGCAACCCCTTTTATTTTTATTCTCGTGAGATTAGTTCATATATTTCTACCTTTTAAATTATACTAGTTAATATTAGTAGAAAATAGACCAATATGAAAAGCTTAAAAAAGTATATAGGCTAATTTTTAGTTGTAAAAATTAATAGGCCATAACTTGTCAAATTATGGTTCATAACCAGATAAGTCATGGATAAATTTGTCAAGTTATGGTTTATAGCCAGACAAATTATGGACAAAAACCGTGAATTATGGATAATAACTTGTCAAGTTATGGTTCATAACCAGACATGTTATGAACAAAAACAGTAATTTGGCCTATTTATTAACTTATGTAAACTATTGGCCTATTAATTTTAATTCATCTCAAGTCTTGGCATATTTTCCTCTTTCTCTTAAAAATAATATTTTTAGTAAGTCGAATATTTAAGAGATAGAATATGCAATTTTCTCATAAAAAAAGAAAAAATAGAGAATTTAATCTTAATAAATATCCCTTAAAAATGCACAGATCAAAATTTTTACTATTTACTCTTAATTCATAACCTTTTTAATTAAATAGTTACACTAACAAAAAATTATTTATCAAAATTAAAAAATAAAAATTCAGACTCATACACCCTCAAAATAAATTCACCCTTTTTCAAAAAAGAAATTCATACGTTAGTCTCGTAAGCCCATATACTCATTTTAATACTCAGTCGTCCGGACGGCGTCGTTTTAGAAACTGGAGTGAATTTTTTGTTTTAATTCATTTTTTGTCTAAAGAACCGCAGCATTAGCACGAGAGCTTAGCAAGAGAGAGCAGAGTCACACGCCGCTGCAGCCCCTTCCTTCCTTCCTTCCTTCCTTCTCCGGGCGCCGCCGGGCCACCTCTCATCGCGTACGCCACAAACTGCAGTCGTTTTGATTCGCAACAATTCATTCCCCTTTTTTTCTCTTTCATCCGACCCTCTGTGTGCCCTAATTCATCCATTCTTCGATCAAATTCCTCACTATTTCCGAAATCCCTTCAAACATGAAGAATTGGCCCCCAAAAGACGAGGCGAAAAGAGGCGAAATTAGCGGCCCCAAATCGGTGAACATGAAGAGAAGAAACAATAAGGCGAAGAACATGACGAGTGGCCTTTCGCTCGAAGCCTTCAACGCCAAATCGAATAGGAACTACTACAATCCAGCTTTAATAAGTACAAATCCCTCTTTTTTTTCTTTGCTTTTTTTTCCTAAATTTGATCATATAATGTCGGTGCATTCAGCTGAATACGGAAAAAACTTTAAAAAAAAAAAATTTACTGTAATTACAATGAATTTGGTTATAGGATTTTTCTTTTTAGTATATTAGTTTAAGTTCTATATGTTGAGAGAATAGTTCAACTTTTTCTCTTGTTTAAAAAAAAAAAAAAAAAAAAAAAAAAAAAAACCTCCAAACTTTTCTTGGTTATATTTGTTATGTCAGATTGAGTAAAGTAAACAAATTGGCATTGTTTCAACCGAAAAATGTGATGGTGATTGCAAATCCGAATTTGATATCTTGCATATTAAAAGGAATTATTGAAGAAGCTCATGTGAGAGTAATATTAATTGGATGCTTGGTTATTAACTTATTATGTTGTGAATGATAGTGAAATTGTTTCTATCTTTTGCTTCTGTATTTTATTTGTTTAATTGACGGGTTTCTTGATGTTGTTTTGCAGAGAAGCAAAAGGAGTTCTATAAGAATGCTAAATATGTCAGCAAGTTTAAGAAGTCAATAAAACAGCAAGGTCAACAGAATGATCTTTCCTCGATTATAAGACCCCAAGAGGTTGGATGTGAATTACATCTAGTTTATTTGATTTGATTTTGGCTTCCTTTTTATTTTTTTGAATGAAACTTCCTCAAAAAGAGGAGAATATTATTAAAGAAAGGAAAAAGAATACAAAACAGAGACTCGATCAAGAGAATCTGTAAAAAGGCAAAGCTTCCTTTTTATTGGTCTCTCCAGAAACTGTTTGAATCTAAATAATTGATTGGAGAATTATTTGGTAGCTTATGAAAGGAAAAAATAACTATTAATAAGACATGGTTCTAAATCGCATATTACACTAGAATCATATTGTATTAAGCAAAATATGAACAATTTAATAAAACTTCATGAAAATCTGATGGCTTAAAACTGTGTCTATCTAGAGCTTTTTTTTTTTCTCTCTCTCTCTCTACCTCCTTGTCTGAGAATTTTCCTAAATGCTAATATGTTGGGTAGCTCGTCAATTTTTCTAAGGGATTATTCGACAAGGCTGAGTATTTTCTCAAAAATTTGCATTACTTTTCACACATTCATACCTGGTACTTGAGTTCGAGATTTATGGTTTTTGAGGAGAATTTTGAATCTTCTTAACCTTATATATGACATACAGTTGTTTGATTGTTTGATAATTCTATGTTCCAACAATTTGGCATGATGTTGCTGTCCTCAAGAAAATTAAGACGCGCTATAATTCAAAACGCTCTCTTAAGTGGATCCTTGCTTTTGGAGATGATAGTTACATATCCTTTTATTGCTTGTCCCAGGATGATAACGAAACAGAACGCAACAGTGAGATGATGAATAAGAAAAGCAAGAAGGGCAAGAACAAAGGGAAGTTTAGTTTGAAAGAAATATACGATAAGAAGCGTGAAGAGGAAGAGAAGGAAAAGATGGAGAGAGAGGCAATTATTCAGAAACAGAAAGAAGAAAGGGAAAATGCCAAAGCGCGCAGGAAGGCCGTGAAGGAAAAGATGTACAAGAAGACGCGTAGCGGTCAGCCTGTTATGAAGTACAGAATCGAACGTCTCTTGGAGACAATTCAAGGTTCAAAGAGCAATAATAGTTGATAAAAGTTCTCCAACTCTCAATAGGGAGTGTTTTTGCGTTTGTATCTTGGTCATCATAAATGCTAGTGTACTCAGTTCACATGTTTTCTTAATTTGTTATGTTTTGCAAGGTATCAGCGTTAGTTGTTGGTACCATCAAATACTGTAAGAGCTGTAATAGAACAAATTATCCGTGGTTTATGTTTATGATATATCATTCATCACATCAGAGAGGCAAATTTGTCAAATAAAAATTACAGTTATTTCTCCTACGTGGCTGAAAACAGACGAACCCATTTCTCATTTAGCCAATTTCTACGACACTAAGCTCTCATCTCCATTAGCCATCAATCAGCGAGAGGACTCGTGTAATGATTTATTTTAGCCTTCTTGCTTCCCTAACTAAGAGCGAGCAACCGTTCATCGCAAGTATAAAACTGCATAACCGTTAAGATTCCTTTATCAATTGCCATGCAACAATCACATAGCAGGATTTACACGTGCATAACAATATGAAAACACTCGTTGAAATTATAAAATCATACATAGCCCACAAGATAAGAAGAGAGAAAAACAAGAAGTAGCTTGAGCTGTATAACACTCACACAGCCTGAGGAAAATACTTGGCTTGACCAGCCTGAGAATTCTGAAATCGACAACAAAATTGTCAACGGATGCGATGCACGGCGAGAACGTTTTGCCTAGGAGGCGGTCTGCAGATGACCATGAGGGTGAGAACTATAACAATCACCATTAGAAATCTAGACAGATCCAAGCCTTCATCTAGCTCCGAGCAAACCATCTTTCCCATTGCTAGGAAAGAACGACCCCCTTATTTTCTGTCCTTCTTTCCTGCTTTTTTTTGGGGGGGGGCGGCGGGGAGGGGGTTCTCTGGCTATTATCTTCTCTGCCAAAATGGTGAAAGGAAGAGAGCACTAATACAACAATACTAGATGCTGGAGATATAATTTAAGTTGAAACAAGTAAAGTCAAGTCCGCCCTTTGTCAAGTCTTCTCATGTATCAGTCATTAGTCATTATTTGAATTTTCTTGGGTCAGGTTCTTCTACTTGGGCGGCAGATTGTGTCAATACATGACCATTTACACCGACTAATAAGGCATACAACAAATGTAGTGCCTGCCCTTTTCAACAACAACAACAAAAGTAGAAATAATATATGCTTCTCTTAATGTCAATTTCGACCCCTCGAACTACACTCTTTATCCCATTTTGACCCTAAGATTTAAAATGTTATAAATTGTACCATAAACTATGTTTATTGTCCCATGTTTGGCCCCTCGATAAAATCAACCATGTGACACTCATATGCTCAGTTAAATATTTTAAACAAATCATATTTAAATAAATTTGAAAATTGAAAAAAAAAGGGTAAAAAGTTACGATCTCTCTCTACATGAGCTCGTCGGCTAACGAAATGTGTAATGACTAATTTCATTTTAAAAGGTGTAATTTGCCTAAAATACTCTTTAATTAATCAGTATGTGAGGTTAACACGATTGTTTCCATCAAGCTTTAATGATTTTAGTGATTAAAGAGAAACATAAGATAAAAAAGTATAATTTCAAGTGCAATTTGTGACATTTTGAAGTTTCAGGGTTGAGGCCAAAAATGAAAGCAATCATTTTTTTTTTATTAATTTCAAAATCCCCCCCCCCCCGAACTTTATTCCGTTAACAATTTTGCCCCTTCTGTTACAATGAGTAACGAAATTGTCACATGTCACTTATTTAGTGAGAATTGAAAGCACAATTACATTTACACCCTCTTAATCAAATAATTCTCTATTTTTATTGAAAAAATTCACCATCTTCGTTCCTCATTTTCGTTCCTTTTTTTCCTTATATTGTTCATCAATAAAAAGTTTGCCAATGTGCAAGAGTTGGAAGTTTGAAAGCGTTGTGTTGCTCAATTTCATTTGCCTCTTACCCAGTAAGCACTTTAATCTTTTTGCTTTTCAGTTTTTCTTTTTTTTTTTCCGAGTTTTGTACACGATTTCTTAGTGCCCATTTTGAATAGATTTCTGGGTTATAATAATTGATCATAATTTGCATCTTATGATGAAAACTGATTTCTTATTTAGATCTGGCCGATGCTGATAAGTGTTTCCAACACTTACTTTTCTTCTCTTTCCTATATTGCCCTGTTGAAGAAGAAAAAGATGACCATAGAATTTGCAAAACGAATAACAATACCACGCGAAGATGAATTCAAAGATGCTTAGAATTCATTTCAGAGAATGCTCTGAACGCGCCCTTTTTCTTCTGTCGCAGCGTTCAAAATCTTATTATTTTATTGTGATTTCTCTGTATAAGCAAATGAGTATCAAATTTTCAGTGGCTTGGTGGATGCTCTTTGCAAAGAAGTTTCAAAGAAAATTTGATGCTACATCCATCAACCAACAACTATAAATACAAAAAAAAAGGGGGACAGAATGGGTTGTATTTTGAGTTTTTTAACGGTTTTTTTAATAATTTAGGGTTGTTGCAAATTAATTTACGGTAATACTCCTCTTAGATAGATGATGTACCTAATACGGGGCGATTTCTGTCACATTATAATGGAAGGAGAAAACTTATTAACGGAATAAAGTTTAGGAGGAATGAATATTACTTTTTAAAATTTAAAGAAAATTTGATGCTACATCCATCAACCAACAACTCTAAATACCCAAAAAAAAAAAGACAGAATGGGTTGTATTTTGAGTTTTTTAACGGTTTTTTTAATAATATAAGATTGATTAATTTACGATAATATACTTCTCATATAGGTCATGTACTTGATACGGAGTGATTTCTGTCACATTGTAATGGAATGAGAAAACTATTAACGGAATAAAATTTAAGGAGAACGGTTGTTATTTTTTAAAATTTAAAAGGTAAAGTGTTAAAATGGTCATAATTTAGGAAGAATTTTTAAAATTAATCTTTTTTTTAATCCACATGTCATACGTTTGCATCGGTTCAAGCACTTGTTCTTCTCTTAAATAAATATATATATAATTTTGAAAAGGAAAGCGACTTTCTATGCTAATCAACCGTCTTTTGACATGCATTTCAGAACAGGGACAAAAATAAAAGTATTCTTTGCCGTGATAAACACGTCTCAAAAAAATGTGGGGTTGAAAAAATAAAATAAAATGAAATAAGCCAACAATACAAGTCTCTAATCCGCTGTATGAAATTTTTCTATGGTCCAAGTATTATCAGTCTCTGCTTGGCATACCTTTCCAAAGAAAAAAGTGTTATTTGTCAAGATAAACCTAACTTATAGTGGTCAAAAAAAAAAAAACCTAACTTAAAGATGATTCGTGATAACACCTAATTAGTAATCCATTCTGATTTGCACATTAGATTATTCTGAAAAGTAATCCATTTTGTTTTGCACATTAGAGAATTTTTAAAAAAAAAAAAAAAAAAAAAAAAAAAAAGAGAAGAAGAAGAAGAAGAAGAAGAAGCTGACTTCAAGCTGCAGCTTTCTGCTTTTGCATTGAGTTGGGCTTTCTATTTGTATTTTCAGTTGGGTTTTAAGAATTGAAAGCCCAGAATCATGAATTAGAGGAATTCACTTTTATTCAAAATTCAAATATACTATTTTTTGAAATATAATTTACACATAAAAACAATAAAAGTAACTATACTATAGATTTAGCCTCAGATACAAAAAAATACTATAACTTTATATATATATATATATAGATTGCCCACAATTCTCCAATAACTTAGTTGACTTACAGTTACAACAGAATACAAATTGGCTCAAAAGACCCCCAACATAGTTCTGAAGCTACCAGCACAAATAACGTACCATTGGGCACAAACACTATTACCCTCAAGCTTCAAACAATAACCACCTTAAAGCCATTTCTCTCTTTTCTGTTTCTTTCTTCTTGTTCTTTCTTTCTCTCTTTTTTTGGGGACTCAGAATAAAGGAATCTAATCATGATTCTAAAGTCAGAATCATTTTTATTTTCCCCAGTAAACCCATCTTCAATCTATATATATATATATTTATATATACACTGTAACACTGAACACCGTTGCAACTTTAACTGAACCGTTGTAACTTTATAATCATTCAACATCAACCAGCTACAGTGGAATCATAATGGGTTAGGGTGAAACGGTAAAAAAAAAAATGAAAATGAAGATTGAAAATTAAAAATTAAAATAAAACATGGTGACGAAATCAACAGAAGAATTATAAGCAAAAAGGAGTGTAAGGAGCATAAAACTGATGATGATGATGATGGTGATGGTGATCATGATTATTATCATCATCATTATCATCATCATGATCATCAATTCCCTCAAACGTGTGGCCATCATCAACCAATAAAATGTATGCAAATTTTTGTGAGGGCCTCTCTTTCAACGGACACATTTTTCACTCTTTCATTCACCCACTTTTTTTTTTTTTTTTTTTTTTTTTGGTCTCTTCTCTCCTCTATCAGGATCTGTGGTTGGAGTTGGAAGAGTGAGATAGGGTCTCCTTGTTACGTTACTTTCAGTCTAACCTGTCCTTTTGCTTCTTTTCCTGTTCTCGAATTTTTTTTCTTCTTTATTTGTAGGTGTTTTTGTATATTTTTAAGAACTTTGTCTGATGTTCTTTTTTTTAAAAAATACTTATGTTTTTTATTTATTAATTGTTGCATTTGTATTAAATTTAGTCAAAAATTAAATCAGATTGAAAAATAATAAAAATCAGGCAGCTGATAAACATGAAACACTGATGTTCCCAAAGAGGAAACATCAGAGAAATTTTCTATTTCTTATTGAAAAGGGTAATTGGTACAGATAGTCTCCAACCTCTTCAGTAGGTGACAGTTTTGTTCATATTCTTTTAATTTTAGCAAAACGACCTCCAACCTCTTTAAATTGGTATAATTAAGACATTTCTGTCAAGATCCGTCTAAATATTAACGGGAGAAAGCACGTGACGCCCCACGTGACCTGTGTTTATAGTGGAAAGACGAAATTGCCCTGAAATTAGTTTAACATGTGAACTACTCTTCAATTATTTTTTTTTTTTTTTTTTTTTGTTGCTGAATAAAATTTACTCTTCATTTATTCGGTTCATCTTCATCAATTTTTGGAATTAATTAGGGGTTCAGAGAAAAAAGGGGTTTTTAAGAGTGAGAAATTAAATGAGTGTCTAATTTGAATGAATCCTTTTCTTCTTACTTTGGACTTTGCTTCAATTGGCGACAATAAAATTTGTTATTAGGTAGAAGATGATTGTTCGGCGCGAAAAAGAAACTCAGCCGCCTATTTAATCAGCATGCACAGATTTATTACATGTTTATTAAAATAACGGGATTATTTTGTGCTTTTTAACTAGACAAAATTCATCCTTGTATTTTTATATAATCACATAGAATGCACTTTTGATGTCAAGGTAAATTTTGTGGTGGGATTTCCCCATAGTTAGGGTCTCACAATATCACTTAAGTTTCGTAACTCGTTTCATTAATTCGTGCAGATGATTCATGAAGATAGGTTGCATGTAATGCATGTACCCATTATTATTTACAATTGGGAGATCATGTAGAATTTCTCTTCATGTCAGATTTAGACAAAATTAGACGTGCCAAAAAAAAAAAAAAAAACATGAAATGAAGTAGGGAGAAATCCTAAAAGTGATAAATTTGATCTTTGATTTTTCTTACATTTAAGAATAGTAAATATAGTGTTTTTCGAAAAGTTTTATTTTTAATGATACTCAATAAAATTGTTGTCTTTAAAATTTCTTTTACATTGAGAAAAAAGTCGTGTAGTTAATTTTGATTAAATATGACATTAGAAGTGAATTTTGTATGATTAAAAGAACTTACAATAAAATTTGTCAAATTTTTTTTTTTAAAAAAAGATTAATTGTATACTAAACACAGCAGGCAGTTTTAATACCATTATAATTTATAGCCTTAATACTTTGGTTGCTGGGTGGGTCATCACTCATCAGGTGGTGGTGGTGGTGTTGGACTAGAAAAGAGAGGGTGAATGATGCAAAAAGTTGTGGACGCCATCCGATGTCACCGAATCCATCACGTGCCTCCACAGTCGACTTTCTCTCTCTCCCCCCGATAAAAATTAAAGGAAAAGTTAAAGGTTACCATAACTGAGAGAGCAGAGCATTTACCAGACTTGCTTTCCTCCATTTTACTGTCCAGTAATTTTCTGGCTTGTTTGCGTTCCTCAATTGGTAGCTTTTTCTCCATTTTACCGTCCAGTAATTTTCTTGTTCGTTTGCTTTCCTGATTTCCCTCCTTATATTACCCGTCAAAAGTTTCAATCAACTAACATATCGTAGGAAACACAGTAGAGTGTGTTAAATTTCTAATAAAATTGTTTTAACAAAGTGTTTGAAAATTTCTTGTTAGTTTTTCTACGTTTCGGGCTTGTTTTTTTGGAGTTTAACTTGAGTATAATTCTTGAATTGAATTTGAGTTATAACTTGAGTTGAATTTGTAACTTGAGTTTGTGTTTGGTTGTGTACATTTGAGATAAGAATCATTTTGAGTTTGTGTTTGAGTGAGCCAAAACTTGAATTTGTATTTATATAGTATTTTAATAAAAACTCAATGCTGATGAAAAATTTTAATATGGTATATGGGTCGAGTTTTATTCGTCTTTTCATTGTTAACACATAGAAAAAAAAATCATCTCAATCAGAATTAAAACGAAAAAATTATAACATTTTTAAGAATAGAAAAAATAATGTTCATTAATTTGAGTTCGAGTTTCTAAACTCAAGTTGAAGGGGAAACTTGAACTCGAGTTTAAACTCAAATTTAAACTTAAAAAAATATGAACTCAAATAAAATTATAACTCGATTTGCCTTTTTTTTTTTTGAGTTTTTCACTCAAAAAAAATAAGCCCTTCATTTTTCATTTTTTCTCATTCTTTGGTTGTTTAGTAAGAGTATTATCATTTTTGGGAAGCCAAATTGCCAGCTACGTTCTACTCATGCAAGTTCATCATGTAAGAATTCATGAATCTGTGTTTCTTTTTTTTTTTTTCTTTTTTCTCTAAAGTCTTCTTCTTCTGACTTTATTTTAGCGTCAGAACTCAGAACAGAGTAACCTTTTGCATACAAAGCCAGCCCCGGATGATTACGCCTGGTCATTATACTTTTTCCCCCTTTTTTTCTTTTCCTCTTTTCAAGAATGTCGAACAGTCATCATCTTTCTACGTAGCTCAACTTGATCATATAACGTTATGTATATTCTCTGTATAATTCCTGAATTCCCTGCATAATTTAAGTACATTTTTCCTCTCCGATGGTCAAGATAGAAAAGAACCAATTTTGCACAATGCAGAGTCAGTGGAATTTTAGGAACAAGATTGACAAACTATCATAAAAATATATATAGTAGATCCAAGAATACCAGGTAAGGCTCTTAACACTTTCCTAGAATATTTGAAGGAGGTTGATTAAACTCCGAATTCGCAACATACAAAAAGTCGTATCCCAAAAATTTACTATGTATTCAAATTTGTTAATAGTTTATGTTATGAACGCATGTACACACACACACACACACACACACATCTTTGGCACGATGAGGCATTCGTTTTCAGTTAATTTTTCTGCAGTTGCATCATAGAAGAACCTACGAGCTTCAAGAACATGCAAATAAAAAGAAAACCACCACTGGCAAAGTGCATTAGAATATGAAGCTTTATTATTCCTTGGGAAGAGGCTTAATAACATTGATACAAAGATGGGTCCACGATAATTAACTTCCTGCTGCTTGCTGAAAACAATGCAGCACAAATAAATGCATAAACATGCGAAAATATAAATAAGTCTGCAGATAAATAGTATACTGAAGGATTCCCGAATAAAATTAAAACTCTGTTCTGAATGAATACATACGACAACAGGAGTTTATATCTCTCTCTTTTTATTAATATTACTACTAATTGGTATCGCATAGCTCAGCCAAAGAGTAAAATGAATGGCAATCGAGCTCTTGTGCCTCTCTCTCTCTCTCTCTCTCTCTCTCTCTCTCTCTCTCTCTCTCTCTGTATTACTCTGCATACCCCTGGTTTTACTCCAATCAGAGCTTGCTGCAACATATATTAAGCTACGATATAAATCAAATGGAGAACAGTGAGTACCCTATAAAGCATGTACCTGCTATATTTTTTCACTTTCAACTCGAGACATCAGAGGGGTTTGAATTATGTGGCTTGAAACTTGCGATCTTTTCAAGAAAGCCGTAGTGCAGAAGAATCTTCATCCATCGTCCAAACAAAGCCAGGCATGTCGAATCTTGGCCCGGCAACAGACCGATAAATGTAGAGCTTCTCAACAGGGCAGCTCTCGGGCCTTGTATCTGGAGGTCCCCTCTCATCAATAACCTCAACGTTTAGCCTGGGCATCTTCTGACCAAGCAGCTTACATGCTCCATAACTCACCATGCAAGAAGACATCCAAAGGGATCGCATTGTCTCCAGCTTTGCAGCATTGGCCAAAAGTGCCTTGTCACCAAATGGGCAGTCCCTGATCTCCAGCTTCCGAAGATTTTCGCAACCAGACAAGACATGGTGAAGCCCCAAATCACTGTCTCCGGCAAAAGCAAGAGACAGCATCTCTAGCTTCTTTGCATAAGTACCAATGTACTCAAAGGCACGATCGGTAAGGAGACCAGAGACAGATAAGCGCCGAAGGTCCTTGCAGTGCTCAACAATAGCTCCAAAACCCGCATCCAGTGGCCCGAGGGTCAGGTAATCAGGAGTTCGTGGCTCAATAATACAGAGTCGAAAGCATGTAAAGTTGGGTCTGTTCCTGGCAATGGTCGTCAAGGCAGCGTTAGACATTTGACGGCAGAAATACAGAACTGAATGAAGCTTTGGACAGCCTCCAGAAACAGAGACAAGGCCCTGTTCTGTCAATGACACGTTTGGTTCTGCCACGAATGGGTCCGATGGAAATACTCTTAGTTCTCGCAAATCCTTGCAAGATGCTGCTAGTGCCTCAAGGCCAACATCTTCAATGTAATCCAAAACCTGTAGTCACGTCCTCAATTAGATAAAGAATGTAGCAGCAAGCAGAAAGTCATCACATCTACGAACATCTAAGAGTCACACCTCAAACAGGATGCTAGTCAATAGATACCATAATTCACAGAAAAATTCAAAAAGAATCATACCCATAGACGCTGCAATTTCGGACAATGGCTAAGAAGCTTGATAAGGTGTGGGCTCTGGATAGCAGCATAACTCAAGTTTAATGATGTCAGCCCAGGGCAAATAGAGTAAACAGCTGGAAGATAAGCCGGCACTGCTTCCCAAAACCCAGATAGGCTCTTCAATTCCTTGCAGCCTGAAAGAGCTCCTGCTAGGTTCGAGAAGACTTCAGGTCGCAACTCAGCTGAGTAGGCTCCTGTGCCTAACTCAACTAGCTGAGGTGCTTGCCGAAGTAGGTTGGCTAGCTTCTCAATAGGTACAGTCCGGTTAAGCCGCAAACTCCTCAAGTTGGGACACCTACCCACGAGGCGTTCCAAGGCAGTGAAACTCATCTCAGACCCTAAGCAGGAAATGTCAAGGGAAACTAGTGAGGTGTAAGTATCAGGAAAATGGCTGAGCCAGTGGCCACTCAGATCATCCACATCACTCTCCCGCAAGTCTAGCTCTCGCAAATTCCTGCATTGGCAAACCGCAGACCCATTGAAGAAAGGCAAGAGGCATTTTACATTGCTCAGCACAACAGTTTACGAACAAAACTAGAAGTAGAAAAGGAAAAGAGCATAAATAATAGATTATATATCAAATGTAATTGCAGGGCTGCGTCATTGCCAACAATGAGACGTGTGTGCGTAACTTATTTGGCACCTTTATTTGAAAAAAAAAATATCACACAAAAAGGAAAATTTACAAAGTAAGAATCTGAAGCCCTCACTCCTCAAATAGACTAAGGTCTCGTTCATTTTATCGATTCGAGTTTTCAGTTTTAAGTTTCTACAATTAAAAGCTAAATGTCACATGTAACTTTTTCTACTACAATTAAAAACTCTCAGAAAATATATCGTCTCAACTTGAATTAAAAACTCAAATCCGCGAAGCGAGACCTAAAACTTTTACTTAGGGCAAAAATACATACATATATATATATATATATACACAAATAAAGAAAAAACAAAAGGTACAAAAAAGAGAATCCCGTGAAAATTGAAAGAAACCCACACTATCCAAAAGAGCAACTATCATAAGACTGAAAGCAACCTCAGGTCAGAGACTCAGAATAGACCATAAGAAACAAAGCAGCTAGGGAAAAAAGCAACCAAAACCAAAACGATCTTCACTAGATTTTGCGCAGAGAGATTGGTGCCACAAACACAACTTACAGAGGCCGACCTCCATTGCTTCCAAATGTAGAGGCCAAAACCATTTGAACTACAGACAATGGCATAGAATTAAAGTTTCTCCGGAAGAGCATAGGCTAGTCTAAGAGGGAAAGTGAGACGTTACATAGAAGAAAACTCATTTGGCTTTTGAAAAACCTAAACATAAACTTAAAACCGAAGCACATCAGATCTCTAACGCGTTCACCGTCGTAACTAACTCAAAACACCATAACATCTATAAATTAGGTGAGAAAACGCTGAAAATTTGAACAGATATAGAATGGCTTCTTACTGTCAGAAAACCCATTAAAAAGCCTCCAATCTATCGCTCTATAGCTCAACTACAAGGTGAGGTTCAAGAAAGCTCACTCATTTCACCAAACCAAACGAAGGACAAAAATATCACATAGAAAAAGATCGACTTTGACACACTCCCTCACTTGAACTTTCTCCGTTACCAAAACAGACCCCGAGAGACTAATAAAAAATGAAAAGAACATAACTTTCCATTTACTAAATTAATAAAATCTAATTCAAGGCCCGAACTTTCCTCTTCTTTCCGCCATTTTCCAACCAAGCCCAAAACGGGAAACAAATCCAAATCGAAACTGAGAACGCAGTACAAAGCAAAACAAACCTGCAATTGGCCGCAATGGCGGCGAGGCCGTCGGTGCTGAAACCCTCGCAGGAGGAGAGCACCAAGGCCTTGAAGTTCTTGAAGGACTTGGCTATTAGCTCCAAGCTCTCGTCCGTGACGACCATCCTCTTGAGCCTGATCTCCTCAAGCCAGGGGTAGGCCATGGCCATGGCGGAGATCCAAGGGTCGACATAGCCACCCCAGCCCTCCGGCACCAGATTGAAGTCGGCGAAGTGCGGCTTCCCCTTCAGCTCGATGGATCTCACATCCGGGAACCTCCTGATCACCATTCTAGGGCTCACAGCGTAGCAGTTGCCGACAAAGATCCTCCTCCGGCACCACCGCTCGATCTCGTACCACGACTTGCACACCATCGAGATCGAGTTCCGATCGGCGTCCGACTGTATGAACGAGAACACGTGCTCCAGCACCTCCTCGGGAAACGAGCTCGCCATTCTCAGCATTACCGCCACCACTTCCAGAGTCTTCTCCCGAAACTCTTCCGAAGACTTTCCCCCTCTCTCTCACACTTCCTGAGCTCTCGATTTCGCAGAGTTCGCAAGAAAAAGACGCCGTTCGCGGAGCGCGTGCTGTTTTTCTTTCAGATTTGAGCTCTTGGTTAGATCTGAGACTCCATTGACGAGCTTATACTTGCAGAGAGCGGAGAGAGAGAGAGTAAAAAATAGGATAGAAAGAAAAGAATAGAGAGAGAGAGGATAAGGATTTTTATGTTGCGAAGGGGGTGGGGTTAAAATCTAACCATGGTTAAAAAGGTGTGGTGGGGTTTACGCTAGTAACGATGATCAACCGTTATGATCGTCACACGTGGGTCACAGTTAAACGTGAACCGTTCGATCTGGTGTGAGGGTGGGGTGATCTTATCCGCTGGTCGACGAAGAGGAGCCGCATAAAACGGGTGTACGTAAGGGCGTGGAGCCACCTGGGGTGGTGATATTTTGAGTGTGTTTATATCGTTTCGTGAGGTTTTTAGGAGAAGACGAGATGACGCGATATGAGATTAGAAAGTTAAAATGGGAGATAATAAAATGTTATAATGTGTACCGAAGGGGTGTGGAGGGGGAATCTCATGATTCGCGTTGCACGGCTGGATCTGAGGGAGAGAAGGGATATTGCGGGGACCACACAAGGGGTGGTGAGAGAATATAAAAGTTTTTAAATAATAGGGAATGATTTGATGTGAAGTCCGGTTATCATGACATCATGGCCGTCCAATCATGTATACTGGTTCATTCCTGGTGTTACTCTTATCAAATCTTAAAAAAAATTTCCAAAAAACAAAAACAAGAAGAAAGAAAAAGAAATTTCAAGAAATAATTAGGAGGATTAAAAATATGGTACACTTATCAATTTAATGACATGTAGGTCACGTTTATTTTATTAATTTGAGTTTTGTTATAGTATAAAATTCTTAAAATAATTACATATAACTTTTTTACTACAGTAAAAAATTTTCACATAAAATCACATCTTAATTAAAATAAAAAACTCGAATCAACAAACTAAACCAGTTATTACCTATTTACCCAACGGCTTAGATCTATTTCATAATTGGTTATATTATTTACCATAACTGAGATACGTATGTTGATGCCAAAAAGTTTTCTCAATTAATGAGATATGTATGTAACTATTTATATGTATTTTTCTTTTGAAAACTATTTATGTTGACCTTGCTTAAATGCCAAAAAAGGGTCTTGAGGAAAGAAAAATGCCAAAAAAGAGAGAATATAGTTTGCATACAGATTACAAGCTGTTTATCCAAATAGTGATTTTTTTTTTCTCTTTACCTTTTTTTTTTCTTTTCTTTATGTACTAATTGACAAGGTTCCAACAGACTTCCTATTGTCGAGTTCTATTCTAACCTCACTTTGAATAACTTCGTGATAAAGTTTAGTCATTTTGATTGGTATATGATTGTGTATAAAAAGCCAGTTGTTTCTTCCACTTACTATGAATGCCCTTATTTCATAATGTTTGATAGGGCTGTAAGAAATCACCTTGAATCCGACGAACCTGATCGAGCCGAGCCGACTCTACTCAAAAATTTTGGGTTTCTAATTTTTTATTTAATTTTTAATTTTAATTATGTCTAACCCGCACTGCGTAGGTAGGGGCGCGGGGTGAGATTACATGAACCTGAGGTAACCCTACCCAGCCAAACATGTTCAAAGTAGGTAAAACAAATGTCCAACACTTCAAATTCTTACTTTCATAAGTTTATGGACTTTATGCTTTTAAACTGTTAACTCATTTATGTTTTGGATTCACGGTTTGTGTAAAAAATGCTTGTATGTCATAGTTGTTGAATGAGGATATTCTTTATTTATATTTGAAGTGTTTGATTTCAAAGTGAGTGTTTTAATTGTTCACATTGCATTTAGACCCCCTCTTGAAGGAAAGACATGTTCTGTTTGATAATGATTTCTTCTGTAACAAGCATAGATTAATTGACTAAAAATTGATTAAAATTGATGAAGTCATAGATTAAAATTGATTTTCACTAACCCGAGTAATCCGATCCTACCTGAGGTCACCCGAAAAATTACGGGTTTGTAGACTTAAGAGAGTGTCACGGCTTAAAATTTTTTTAACCCGCACTGGTCGGGTAGGCTCAATTTTTTGACTCAACTCTACCCTACACGCCGATTTACTCCCCTAATGTTTGACATGCTCTTAACTAACATAAACAACTTTGTCAATTTTGGCCAAATTGGACAATTTTGCAAATTTGGCCAAAACATCGTACATATTTTTAAAAAAAAAAAAATTTGTCTTTTCATCGACCAAGTAATTGAAATCCAAAGCAAATCAAAAATGCGAATTTTTTCTTTAAAATAAATAAAAGAAAGTTTATTTAACAATTGGCTGATGGGCACCTGAGAAGTCCAACATGAATATAATAATAACACCAAAATAATATAGTAATAATCGTAATAATAACCATACTTATTAACCCAATTGAATGGTCATTATGGGGGTTGAGGAAATCGTTCAAAAAGTACAAACAACTTACAACTGCACGTTGCATCCTAATCAAGACCGTCAGATGAGTTTTCCTTTTTCACAGTGTACGGACCCAAATGGGTGGTTCTAGCAGGAATTTTAATGTACACGTACTACCCCCCCCCTAAAAAGCCCGCGTAAATAGTAAATTTGGGTTTCTGAAAATGGCAAAAAGGAAAAGGGCCAAAAGTACTAAAATACCCCGCCTTGGGTTGGTTTAGGTAGGGACAAAGGAAGGGGTACAATAGTCAGTCAATGAAAAGGACATTGTATTATGGGGTTCCACTGGTTCAGCATGGAGTCCATGGACCTGTCCCTTTTGATGTCCAAAAGCTGAGAAGTTTAGAAGATCCAACGGCTCATATTCATCTCTCGTAAAGCGGACATCTTGACCATTGGTCTGGTAGGGGCGTCCTTATCGATGGGCAAGAAGAGCAACAATTTGGAGCTTGTCTTTACTCGTTCCCTTTTTTTTTTCCGTCTAAAACCTTTGTAAACGAAAATAATATTTAAAAAAATAATCAAAAAAGTGTTTTGTAGATTATAGAGATGTTAAACGCTCAGAAACTTAGGTCTCAATCGGTTAATTAATTAATTGATTAATTAAGTTTTATTTTGTGATTTGTTAATAGCCAGCTGAGTTGGCCTGCACGTAGGGTTAATTGTTTTATTAGTGTGAAATCGTGATTAATATTTAAAAAAATCGTTGATTAGTTAAAATAATATAGGATTTTATGATCAAGCCCACGCACGGTTCTCCGGGAATCTCTCTTCCCCTCGAGTGGAACGGCTTAGACTTTACTGTACACATAAATTAATAATGCAACATATTTGATTTTTTCTATAAAAAAAAAAAAAAGAATTCCCAGCAAAGAAAATGAAAATAAAAACAAATGATAGGAAAACGTAATCTTTGCCTTATTTAATGCTGATGTGTGATTTAATAATATCCAAAGCTCATAATTAATCGAAAAGAGGTGGGCAAAACTTAGTAGAAGAGCTTAACAATTTTTTTTTCTTTAGTGAAAGTATATTAGGTGCCTTTGAAATTCATTCTAAAATAATTTTATTTTTTATATGAAAAATAAAGTGAAAACATATTCAATCTCAGACAAAAATTATTTTTAAAAATACATTTGGTAGTTTTATCAAGAGATTATTTTCAGTATGAATAACTCATTAATATCTCTCTCTCTTTCTCTCTGCTCGAGAGAGGAGAAAACGAAAACAAAAAATAAAAAATGACTAAAAGTCATTTTTCATTTTTCTCTCATTTTATACTAAACTAAAAAATCGTTTTCATTTATGTTTTCTGTCTTTATTACGTCAAACGCCGCTTTAACAACGTTTTTATTTTTTTTTCTCGAAAAACGTAAAAAATAAAAACGGAATCAATTTTAAACACGGCCATTATTTTCTCCTTTATCAAATTTTATTTTCAAAAGCAGGCCGGTTACATAAATTTATTATATTTTAAAAAAAAACACAAGTTAAAAACAGTCTCCAAAACAATGTCAAGCGAACCCATATGCTATGTTTTGCAACTCGAGTCTTATTAAGTATTGGAGGAAGATGAAATAAAAGGGTTAGTTAAACCATCATATGTCCACTTATACTATGAAAATATCCTTTAAAATCACATACGTAAGGGAGTCAGAAACAATAACATAAATACGTATTAATTGAGGCTAACAAGGTTCGAAGAAATAGCAAAGCTGGATGGTCTTGATGGTAACAGAAGCCCAAAGGGCAACATCTCAGGGAGATTGACGTTGACAAGTCCTAAAATATTGGTTTCGATCACTTTAATGCATTTTAAAGCCATGACGCCACATTACTATTTTGCCAAATAAATTGAATATTTAAAGCATATATACATATAACACTCCACGTGATCGAAAGCTAAGTTTTTTTTTTTTTATGTTATTAATGATACAAATACAATACCCTTCTTATCATTACTGGAAGACTCTATTAAAAAATAAAAAAATAAAACTAATTGTGCACTTTGCTTCCAGAGCTTGAAGCCAGTGTCTCTTGTGTCTCATGTGCAACACCCAAAAAAAAAAAAAAAAAAGGGGGGAGAGAGGTTCAATTAAACTTTTATTCTTTGAGTGATACAAGAAACAACGCATAAAATTATTTAAATAATAATGATATTTTCTTTTATACTAAGCTTCTGCAAAAATTGAGGCAAAGAGGATTATTAAATCTATCTTCTTTCGTGAAGAAAATCCATTTGATTGGCCCCACTAATGGGGAATCTGAACAAATATTGATTATAATTTAAAGATTATATGTCATTGTTATATAAACATCACCAGATCACTATTTGAAGATTAGCCTTTTTTTGTTTTTCGGGGGGGAAAAAAAAAAAAAAAAGAGGAGCAGTTGAAGATTGCGAAATTTCTATGCAAGTTAAAAAGCTTCAGGCAAATTAGTCTTAATGTCCAGCTGGATCGGTCTTTACACATGTAACGTTTTAAAAAAAAAAAAATGATGCGTAATACAGTGTTTATTTTTACGATGATAATTTTAAAAATAAGTAACAATAAAAAATTCATTTATTCTGTAACGTTGAAGCTCGGAAAGAGAAGGCTAGAGAATGGTCTTCAAGAGCATAGGGCGTTGGGTTGTTTAGGATCAAGAAGGGGGCTGCGTGGAAGGCAGACTGGAT